TCTCTACATCGTGGTCCTCGGCTTTGGCCTCCGCACTGCCCACAGCCGAGTTCCCCCTCCCCCCGCCCCACCACAACCCTTCTCACACTCCTGGGCTTCCCGCCCTCTGCCGTTCGACGAGTGCTGCGGGGGCTTGGCGCCAGGGGGAGGGGTCTGGTCTCGGTTCCTCTTCTCCTCCCGTTGCTGGCGGCAACTTTCTCTCTCCCTCCCTCTCTCTCTCTCTCTCTCTCTCTCTCTCTCTCTCTCTCTGCCGAATCGCTGGCGACGGCACACCCAATTAGGGATCGGTTTTCAAGCATTCCGCGCTGCTAGCGGAGCGGTTCTCAGATGACCACACCGTCCAGACCCGCCCCCGGTCCCATCCACAGACGAGGACACTACCCTCCTCCTCCCGACCCCTACCCCCACTATATGCAAACGCAGCGCATGCCTCCCACCCGCTCGCCAAGGGCTCCATGCCATATGAATGTGCCGACTCCGCCTCTCTCGACCCGACTGCTGTTTTTCTCCGTATACTGAAAGCCCCTAGCCATTGCCCGAGCAGGTCCGGGTCTGAGTCTTCGGGAGTCTACCCAATCCACCCTGTCACCCGTCAACCCCCGACTTTATCGTACCTAGAAAATCCAAAAACACAAGGCTACATCAGAGTTGTTCGTTTTTTTGTTTTTTTTTTTAAGTTTAAGTTTAACTCTTAAGTAACGTTAAAGGTACTTTAACGATGAGTTACGGATCCCACTTCTTGCCGGGCCGATATTCACAACCTAAATAGTTATGAACATTTTTTTGTACGCAGCTTACGAATGTCACTGTGCATCCTCTATTGCGTATTATTTTAAGCGCAATTATAAACAAATTTAGAAATGTCTTTAGTTGAAAACAATTTTGTTCACTATTTCTTTTAAAATAGTACGCAATGGAGTAAGCAGAGGGAAAAAGGTTAATAAACATTTAGTGAGCAGGAAAGTGAAAAAGAAGTACGGGAAAATACTTACATAGTGCGTTTCGTCCTCTTCATTGTAGGCTAGTTTCACTATGCCGTACGAGCCCTGTGAAGAAAGCAGAAGGGAAGACAACATTACTTTCAACATACAAACAATAAAACACAACACAACGCAATTACCCAACCCAGAGCACTATACTGCGATAGTCCAGGACAGGGAAGGGCCGCATTCGGTCGCGCCCGGTCCGATGACTTGATTCCATTATATCCCGCAGTATATATATAACTGAACGCCATCAGGAGAGAGGGCTCTAGCATGGCGGGCTTGTTTGGGCTGGCCGCACCGCTCAAATTGGGTAGGGAGCGAGTGGGAAAGAGAGAGGAGCAGAGGGACG